CTGAGTTTTTGGGGGAATGTATAACATATTACATTCCATGACGTGCGAAAAAAAAACAGATTCAAAATAGTTTAATTTTGAAATTTTACTGAATTCTTTGTTTTTTAACTGGTTAGTTGTAACTATTTCTATCGAATTCAACATTTTTTTTATTTTAGTTTTACATTATTGTTTAGCAATCATTTCTGCAACACTTTAAAAATTAGTTTTACATTTGAGTAAAAGCCCAGTTGAGATTTACTGCATATGTTCAATCAAGTGTTAACTTATTTTGTCTACATGAACATTGTTTTTGGAAAATGATGTTCTTATGCATTTTATTTAAAATAAAAACATAGTCCAAAGTCATAATTTTAAGGTTCAGTCATAACAACCTTAAAAGTTATTTGTAATTTCAAAAAAGAATTTATCAAGGCTGAAATTGTTGTTCCATCGGGAGAAATTCGGACACATGATTGGATGTTCATTTTCATGTAATTGTTTGGCCGCTCAACTTTCAGCAACTAGCTGGTCGATGCAAAGGAAATGATTGTAAGCGCAATGAAGCCTGTATGCCACGGGAATCGGACTACAACTGTGTTCCATTACCTGTTAAGTTATCTGAAAGTGGCACACGTAAGTTTAACATTTCAATGCATATGAGTTTATACAATTTAATATGATAAACAAAGTTTTTGTCATTCCTAACTTTAAATGTCTTCACCCTTCACCTTTGTTGGAGTAAATCCGCATTTTCTCGTGTCTTTGCAGCAGCTTATCTCAAGCTTTTAAAACTAGTAATTTTCAAACAACTTTGTAAGACTCAAACTTTATTATATCAACGATGTTCTTCAATGCTTGAACTAAAATAGTTTTCTTGCAATTATGTTATTTCATGATATCTCAGACGAAATTAATAATGACGTTATACAGAACATTTTCATTATCTTCTCTTTTGTTATTGGAAAAGTGAATATACCATTAGTTTCAAGAATGGTAAAGAAAGTGATATAAAAAGTATAAAACTTAATAATTATTTGGTATGTGCTTCACTTTAAAAAAATGGAATTGTCAAATTGCAATCTTCATCAGCTAAATCACATTAACTACAAGAATAAGAATAGTGCTCTATCAGGAATGAAAGGTATTTTTGACATGTTACATCAAGGACCAGTATGTAAAGAAGTCAAAAATTGGAAAACGTTAAGCTCATAAAAATATTGTACCACAAAGTGTCATTGTTTATCTATAATCGGTGCATTCTATGTATATATCGAATATTCACAATAAATATTAAACTAGTCATAAATGAAAACAAATCCACTTTTTGAATTTTTTTTAGAACTGCACCCACGTGACTGCAGTGATCTTCCTGTAGGAAGTGAATCGGGGGTATATACAATATATCCAACAAACGCGATATTTGATGTTTACTGTGATATGGATATAGCAGGATTTGGATGGACAGTAAGTGAAGATGTAGATTTTTATTTAGATATAGTTATTTCGAATTTGTATCTTTTCTTTTTACATAATATTGTATTCATAAAATTGAGAATGGAACTGGGGAATATGTCAAAAAGACAGCAACCTGACTAATGAGCAGATAATTGCCGAGGACCACCAATAAGTCTTTAACACAGCGAGAAAATCACGCATTCAGAGGCGGGATTCAGCCGGCGCCTAAATAAAAACGTGTTCTAGTTCAGTGAAGATGGACGGCATACTAGAAATTAATGTGTTCTGTTATTCACTTTTGAAAAACTGATAACGAATTTACGACACATTCATCAAATCAAAGGCATGATTGTTTTACTAAATGAAAATCAAAAATGAGAAGTTTCGTTTTTTTATATAGTTTGTTGTTAGTCTTGTTTTATTTTGTCTTATTTTTTTAAGGTGGAAGACATTATTTTTTAGAAGAAATTATTTACTGTCTTTGTTATTAATAATTTGTTAATTTCTATTTTATGCCCGGGGTCTGCTAGTTCGTAAGAAAACCAGCGAAACGTTATTTAGCTTATGTATTGCTGGACTTTTTATCTGGATTTTTGCTCCATTGGTTTAATTATCTACACATGTAAACATCGTTTCTGTAATTTTTGTGCTATTTTCACATTTCTTGATCGGTGTGAGAAAAAATATTTCTCCTCACTAGTGAAATATCTGTTCTCGGCAAATGTTTGGTCGAAATTTAATTGTGAAGTCAAATTTTTCTTGGTCTCTTCTGAATTTTCCTTTTGTGATGTCACGAAAAAAAGCAACCATGCCTTATGACGTCACAGAAAAGAACACAACGTTCTTCATATCTTTGAAAAGTGTAGGATAAAATTCATTAGGGAAACAGATTCCAACACTATAACTTGTGTATTACGATATTTCTCCACTCTTAACAGATAAATTTTAATTATCTAAAAAGCTCGACAAGCCGCGCGCTTTAAATATTAAAATGTAACTGTTGCGAGTGGAAAAATATCGTAACATACTTGTTGAAGTGGTGGAATCTGTATTTCTTCACTAGCACATGAGGGTTTATTTCTTGTTTGGAATTCAATACTCTTCTACTTCAAAACGGACCTATAAAGGTAACAGTAGTATACCGGTGTTTAAATGTCATAAATCGATTGGGGAAAAAAACAAATCTGGGTTACAAACCAAAACCGAGGGAAACACATCAACTATAAGAGGAAAACATAGGAACAACAGGGACCCCGAACAGCATCAAAAACAAACGCCAACACACACAGAAACGAACTATTTGAGAACAACTGCCATATTCCTGACTTTGTGGGGATATTTTAAGACAAAATGGTGAGTTGAACCTGGTTTAATGGCATACCAAACATCCCGCTTTAGAAAAATACCGCTAAAACACTACGTGACAGAAACACAGCACAAACACACGCAAGAACATTCATAACAGAGAGACGTACAAACAAATAATAAAATAGCCGACACAACATGCAAACCGCAGAACACCAACGAAGATATTCCATCAACGACAAACACCACAGGATATCAAAAATAGTGACGCGCTATAATACACATTCAAAAGGCAGTCATTTTGATTTGATAAACAAAAAGCGTTAAAAAAAACAGTTGACCGATAACAAAATTGACATATAAACCTAAACTTACTTTTAGAATGATTTTATTTAATTTCGTAGCGAGGAACACCAACAAAACTGTATATTTCGACCTCCGGCGATGTTCAAAATACAACTGACGTTGCAATCACGTGCAGCAATGTTTTATTGTAAATAGAGTATGGCTTTGTCTCCAAAGGGAAAATAGGGCGTCATATTAGAATAAGTGTTTTATTTTATTTTACGGCTGTAAATAACAAAAGACAGATTATTAATATTGATCCCTTTTACAGCTTTGTGACATGAGGGAATATAACATTGATACAGTAACTTTTATAATAGAATGTATTGTGAATTTACCTATTTAATTATTTAGAAAAAATCAAGTCCGGTAAACCCTATTTCCTTTTTCTTATCTGTAAGCATATTATTAAAGCTATCTTCTCATGTTTTATCTTAAAATTGTATATAAAGTTTTCTTATCATCGCACACAAATGTGTTTTTCCAAGCATAATTTATACAAAATTTGAAAAGTTTGTACAACCTGTAGCGTGAAAGAAAGCCCGATGACTCATACTTTTTATTAAACTTAGAATACAAACTACAGTTGGACAAATTATTAAAACATTCTATGGATTTCGATTTAGAATTCCATCTACATTAAATGTTTAAATAATTAAAAAATCTAAATTCCGCATATAAACGGATAAGAATACACCTGATCGAGACCCCATATGAATGTACGAGGTCATTATAATTTCAAGCTATTAAAAGTTAAAATAATTTAAAAATCTAAATTCCGCATATAAACGGATAACAATACACCTGATCGAGACCCCATATTAATGTACCAGGTCATTATAATTCCAAGCATAAATTATAAAAAATTTTACAAGTTTGCAACACCTGTAGAGTGAAAGAAAGCCCGATGACCCATACTTTTAATCATATTTAAAAAAGCTAGAATAAACTACAGTTTGACAAATTATTTAAACATTACACTATTGTTTCAGATAAGGGTAAAGGTTTTGTACCATTAAAACGTTTAAACCCGCTGCAATTGTTTGCACCTGTCTTAAATCAGGAATCTGATGTTCAGTAGTTGTCGTTTGTTGATGTGGTTTATAAGTGTTTCTCGTTTCTCGTTTTTTATATAGATTTGACCGTTGGTCATACCGTTTGAATGGTTTTACACTAGTCATTTTTGGGGCCCTTTATAGCTTGCTGTTCGGTGTGAGCCAAGGCTCCATGTTGAAAACCGTACTTTGACCTATAATGGTTTACTTTAATAAATTTTGACTTGAATGGAGAGTTGTCTCATTGGCACTCATACCACATCTTCTTATATCTATATTCTATGATTTCAATTAAGACCCCCATCTACATTAAAGGTTAGACTAATTAAAAAATATAAATTCCGCATATAAACGGATAACAATACACCTTATCGAGACCCCATATGAATGTACCAGGACATTATACATGTTTTACGGGATTAATAAAAAAACTTCCATTTCATGACACCTTTATTAATCTATAATAAAAAAAATCCAGCTAAATGAGAACAAAGACGGGTGTTAGAAAAGTAATACAGGATCAGTAGTAACTTATTGAGTTATTTTTTTTCTGTATAAAACTATATTAATAAGTACTAGGGCACAAGGAATTGTGATAAATGGACATGATAAATGTCTTGCACAAAATTGTATATAAAAGATAGGCATATTCCAGAAAATTACAATCTTGAATATCATATAACATAAATAATGATGTGGATTAAAACTCAAAAAATATTTTTTTCTTGTCCTTTTTTATGTGTTTTAGACAGATGGATCGTATGCATGAAGAATCATTTACCTTGAGTTGAATTTATACGACATTTGATTTACTCAATATTTTATTGCCCTACGATTCTGATATATTAAAAGGTTTTCCAGAGCAGAATGAATGGATATACAGATTTTTACCGAGGATGGATTGATTATAAAAATGGGTTTGGAAGTTTGACATCCGAGTTTTGGTTGGGTAATTTCTATAAATTTCATTTAAAACTTTTTTTTCAGTTATACATATTGTCAGATTTGATAAACTCAATGCTGTGGAAAGAGGCGAATGATAACAAAGGAAGACCTAAAACTCTTACGACATTTTTTAAAAATAAGTTAAGCACTAGTGAGACAGGATCTGCTCTCCTTTCTGGAGCACGTTAGATCCACCCCAGTTTTTGGTGGGAGTCGTGTTGCTCTTTTTTTAGTTTTATCTGTTGTGCTTTGTGCACTATTGAATTTCCTTTCGTCTTTTCCTTTTTTCCCTAGGGCTTTGTCAGTTTACTTTCGACTTATTAGTTTGAATGTCCCTTTCGTATCTTTCGCCTCCTTTTAAAGTGACCATTCATAATAATGTATACAATTTATAATTAGACTTATAACCGGGTTTGTACTAACATGAGCAACAAGACGGGTGTCTCATGTGGAGAAGGATCTGCTTGCTCTTCCGGAGTATCTGAGATCAACGCCAGTTTTTGGTGGGGTCGTGTTACTCAATATTTAGTTTTCTAGTTTTGTTTTGTGAACTATTGTTGTCTGTTGTTTTTTTTCTTGTTAAACCATGGCGTTATCAGTTTATTCTCGACTTATGAGTATGAATATCCCTCTGTTATCTTTCGCCTCTCCTTTACAACATTAAATAAGACACCAGGCGATTATCTTGCTTTTGAATAATGTAACGTCATTTTACTTGTAAACAGGAAATAACTTTATACATCTTCTTACTTCGACTGGACATTACAAGCTTTATATCCACCTTGAAGATTTTGAAGGGAATTCGGCATATGCAGAATATTTCGAATTTAGTCTAGGAGATTATGCAACAAATTATAGGTTGCATGTCGAAGGATATTGTGGGACTGCAGGTATAACATAAACATACATGTATATATTCTGTTTATAAATATCATACATAAAATAATACATGGGATAAACGACAGTGCTTTTCTTGATTTAGCTTCATCAGGAGTTCTCATATAAAAATAAGTTTTCATTCAATACGAAGTCATTAGGAAGTGATGACTCACTAGTTTAATAATTCATTTGTAATGTTGTTATTTCAACAACCATACAAAGCTAAGACATTTCCGCAGGTCAGGTACGCAAGTATTAAATCGCGATAAATGTAGACAAAGACATTCCAATACAATTTTTTTGATTTTTTAGATAAGTTTTGTGCTATTGATGATCCTTTTAATTCGGTGAACACTTTTGATTTTTCAAATCTTTACACAACACTTCCACACAATCTTATCAAACAAAAATTTTCCTATTTAATAGAATAGTTGTTTGAAAAATCTGATTGCAAATATTTTTGCTGTAACTCATAAAAGCCTTCTTCTCTAAGGAATAAAGTAAATATAGTATTGATGAATCTCATAGATATTTTCTGTTTAATTTATGACATTTTTTAGACCTGATTACTTTTACATTAACGTATACCCTTTATATATTTTATCTGATTCATGCAGTCAGCTCTTTTTGTGAGATTTCGTATACTACTCAACTAGATACGCTATCTTCTCTCTGAACCATTATTTAATCTTTTAAGAAGGTGGATTTAAAGAGCAAACGATAAAGAAAAGATTCTTCCTGATTTTACTAAGAATAGTAAACATTTATGCATTATTTTTTGGGGATACCTCACTTTAATGTATGCATGTTTTTATATTAGATTCCGGATTTTTAAATAGTTTGGCCTCGAACGTCGTTGAGGAGACATAATTGTCGAAACTCGCATCTGGTGCAGTTAAATTGATAGCGTTAATGTGATTATTATCACTTGGTAGATACCTCTGCTGGTGAACTGTTAGTCCCCAAGGTTATCACCAGCCAAGTAGCCAGTACTTTGATACTGGCCTGAAAAAAACTTATACTGTTTGTTTGCAATTTGCTGTTTTAAAATTTTGGAAATCATTTTAAATTAAGGAATATATCTCCCTCATGCTAAGTTCTGATTTAATGTCCGGATAAAACAATACTTGAGGTCCTGTTTGTTCATACAAAGTTCTGATTTATTGTCCGTTTTAGGCTATTATTGAGATCGGTTTTGGTTTGATCAGCTGTTTAACGTTGAATTAAGTTTTGCATTTTTAAATATTTTCGCCTCGAGCATGACTGACGAGATATTAATTGTCGAAACTTGCATCTGGTACAGTAAAATTGGTATTGCTAATGTCACTAATACTTGGTAGATAAATTTGCTCTTTGACTATTTGCCCCCCGAGGGTATCACCAGCCCAGTCGCCAGTACTTCGGTACTGGCATGAAAACATGGATATTTGCCGTTAGAAAATGTTCGGAATCATTTTAAATAACGGAATATATCTCTTTGATGCAAAGCTTTAATTTCTTGTCCAGATTTGACTTTACTTTATGTCCTCGAATTATATCTCCCTCATACAAAGTTCGGATGTATTGTCCAGATTAGGCTTTACTTTGTGTCCTCGGAATATATCTCCCTCATACAAAGTATTGATGTATTGTCCAGATTAGGCTTTACTTTATATCCCCAGAATATATCTCCCTCATACAAAGTTCTGATGTATTGTCCATATAAGGCTATACCTTATGTCCTCGGAATATATCTCCTTCATACAAAGTTATGATTTATTGTCCAGATAAGGCTATACTTTATGTCCTCGGAATATATCTCCCTCATACAAAGTTCTGATGTATTGTCCAGATAAGGCTATACTTTATGTCCTCGGAATATATTCCTCCATACAAAATTATGATGTATTGTCCAGATAAGGCTATACTTAATGTTCTCGAAATATATTTCCCTCATATAAAGTTCTGGTCATTGTCCGGATTAGGCTTTACTATATGTCCTAGGAATATATCTCCCCCATACAAAGTTCTGATTTATTGTCCGTATTAGGCTATACCTGAGGTCCTGTTTGTTCATCCAAAGTTCTGATTTATTTTCCGTATTAGGTTATTCTTGAGGTCCTGTTTGGTAATACAAAGTACTGATTTATAGTCCTGATTAGGATATACTTGAGGTCATGTTTGGTTTCATCAGATCTTCAACGATTGTATTAGGTTTTGGATTTTCAAATATTTCGGCATCAACCAATACTGAAAAGACACTAAGTGTCGAAACGCGCATCTGGTTAAGTAAAAGTAGTACCGTTAATTTTATCATTTTTTCAACATTTTTCTGAAACAAATGACATAACATTTAATCGAAATGAATTATTATCACCAAATGAGGTATTACCACCCAGTTTTTGCAAAATGTTTCTTATATTAGTTAATACGCAAGTCAATTATAGCTACTCTTTATTTACTTGCTCAGAAGATAGCCTGATGTATCCTCGACACGACGTCCAACATAACTGCATTTCTATGACAAACGAGAAGATTTTAATTTTGAAATTATCAATTGTCCCCACCTTAGTAGCAATATACCAACTTCATCTGCATATGGGATATATATTTCGCATCTCATTCGGTATTCAAAAGCTTGCAACTGTAAAAATTAACTAATCCATTTAAATCAAAAAGCAGAGGAATAACGATGGATATTTAGCCAAACATTTATACGTCTTTAAATAAATTTATATTCACTTTTTATTTACTTGCACAGGAGATAGCCTAATGTCTACTGTCAACAACGACCGCTATAATCAAAACGGCATGATGTTTTCTACTAAAGACAAGGATAATGACAGAGTTTCTGAAAGCTGCGCACTTACATATCAAGGGGCATGGTGGTACAATGGTTGTCATTATTCTAATTTGAATGGGGCATATTTAGATGAACAGCACTCGTCTCTTGCCGGTGGTATCGTATGGGGTACATGGAAAGGATCTCACTATTCACTAAAATCTACTAAAATGATGATTAAACGACACTAAGAACCATTTTATGAAAGACTCCCAATTTTATTTTACAAAGGTTTACAGTCAATTTCAGGTTTGGAAAGTTGTTCTATGACGTAACATATACTCAATTTGAAGAAACGCACAGAGTGTAAAATAAAGGCTTACTGAAGAGAAATAAACTTTCCTATTTTGTATGTCTTATTCTTTTTCATTAACTACCTATCAACGTTATGTTTGGTGAAAGGTCGATTTTGAATAATATGAAATAGCTATCGGAACAGAGAAGAAAACACTAATTTGGGCGTCTTCGTACTACTCCTTACAAACCAAAAGCAGTAAAGAAACTGATAAAAATGACATAGTAAAACTGGTACACGAAAATTACAAGAAACAAAAACCACACAATATAACACTGCATGAGAATTCTCTAGTAAAACAATTTAAGTCTTAAACGGACATTTTGATTTTAAAATCAACCGAACATTCTGAACCTAACAAATTAAGGCTTGTTCAGAGTTTCAAGTGGTTATTCAGATATTTTTCCCTTTGTTCATTCAGTCCTAATCAGATATTTTGCCTGCAATCAATCCAGTACTGTTCAGTAACTTTTCCGGCAATTCAGTATGTTGTTGTTTTGTGACAAGTGAATAACAACTACTGAACAATCTGAACATAGACTGGCCACATCTTAATTGACTGTAATGAATCAAAGATTTCTTAGAGAATTCGAGATATGCCGAGTACAGCGAGTTAAGTGTTGGAGATGCTACAACAAATCAATGGATATACTGGGACTGCAGTAACATTGAACTTTTATCTGTTTATCATATACATGATATATAAATGGATATATCGGATTTAACGTCAATGAGATAGCAACCCACGAGACATCATCAAAACTATATGTAAGTTCTTATCGTATTAATACCCTTTTTTTTCTTTGATAACCATTGAATCAAACTGCAAGAATGTAAAACGTTTTATTTTAACACAGGTGTTTTGCAAAGTTTTGTATTTCATTTGAGGTTGGGTTATCAATTAGATAGGAAATGAATATAAACCTTTTGTTTGAATATGATTTTAAGCATGGTGTAAGCATATAATCGAGTAAGTGTGATTTTTACAGTCTATAAGACATTAAATGGAATATTAAACGGATATGAAAATAAAAAAGGCTTATTATTTTTAAACGACAATTTCATACGATGTGGACAAGCAAACGCATTTACTTGCAGAATTTAGTTTTGTAAACTGTCATCAGGTCGATTCACAAAGATTGACAATACTTGGCTTTATTGGATAGCAAATGGTCGTGTGTAACAATTTAAAATACACCATCAATGTACAGTTCATTCAAAGGTTAATGATACAATGTCTAAAACTTACGGAAACAATGATATTGCTTTATATTCGAAACAACAGTAGTTAACCGATGTTCAGATCTCATCAATCCATTAAGAAGACAAAAATCAAGGTAAGAAAACAAAGACTGAGGAAATCTCATGAACTCCAAAAAGGACGAAATCGGCTGGGTCGACAGGGTAAGCGTCTCTTGATATGTATACATCACCCGCCATGCAAATCGGCACTCAATAAAAATGTCAAAATCGAGAAATGGACACAATCAGTAAAATTACATATCAAACGACTATTGCCTAAAACCAACTTATTTTCGCAGATACATATTTTCGCCTTTTAGGAAATCAATTCAAAATCGCGATTAAGACTCTCTCTCACGTGTATCTTATAATATCCATAAAAGCTCGTCACTTATATTGCCACTAATTAAAACGTGATATAATGTGAATTTATTTCACGAACCTGTACAACTCCAAGAATATGTAATAGTTATCCCATGAGGACGCGTTGTGTCAGTGTAAATCACCCCAATGGCCGAGTGGGATAATTTTTGTACATCCTAGTTCTTCTATATGAACAACACATTTAGGCTTCATAACATCTAGTTCAGAATGCCATACAATAATGATGATATACTGTATATATTACTATTTATCATATACTTGTAGAAAATAATGGTATAATTGTACCCCTTGATAAAACTAATTTTTACATAAATTTATTCAATAAATTTGAAGAATTGTCTTAGCCATGTGATGTGACTTTTGTTATCAACTGCTTCCGGTATATATCAACTGTTTACGGTTTATATCAACTGCTTCCGGTTATTATCGCATGCCTTTCTTTAACGTAATCGCAAAGCATTTCGACGTCATTCTGCATATTCCGGAAAATAAACCTCAGTTGTACATTTAAGTGAAAAACATAGCTAAGTAGAATAACAGAAGGAATATTCGGAAACAGGAAAAATATATTATTAAAAAACGCAAAAGAAATAATACAATAAATCAATTTTATAAAGTTTTAAAAAAAAATTCATGTCTGTATGGCTTCTGCTGAAGTATATGAGAAAAAAACATAACATATCATTTTTCATATCAGACCCCTTATCAGCCCATGGTCAAAATCATTCCTCGAGCCTGTCGGCTCTCGGGCTGATATCATGACCTGGTGCTGATAAGGGGACTGATATGAAAAATGCCATGTTATAATCTATATATATTATATACCCTTTATGAAGCCCGGAAACAATGTTTAAGTACGCTGAAGTAACGGAGATTTTGTATCCAGTCGTACTGGTGTAGGGGTATGAATCATGGCTTCATATGCTTAAGGTTCCCCGCATAGAAATTAGTGGGGGGGGGGGGGGGGGGGGTTTCTACATCAATTTTGAAGGGTGTCTTGATTTCGGATACTAGTAACTACATTCTAACTCCTTTGTTCTCAACGGTAAGATCTGAGTCGGATAACCCCTACAAGATCACCCTACCTTGTGTTTCTTTGTTCTGCATGCTTTCTTTTGTGATGTAACATTTTGGCAGGGATGTCAAATTCACAATAAAACAATAGAACTATTGATGCGGAAAAAAGACTAACCTTCAAAATTTATGTAGAAAAATCCACTAAATTTCCGGTGTCTATGCGGGGAATCGAACTCAAGACCATAAGCATATGAAACAACGATACACCAGGAGGACTGGATACAAGTTTACTGTTAATTTTATATATTTAAACATTGTATCCGGGGTACATAAAGGATATATACTATTATAGTATTAATGTATGGACTTTTTCATATTGGCCCTGTAACATGCCCGAGGTATTAATAATGACCAAGGTTGGTTGTAATGGCCCCGAGGCAGCGCCGAGGGCCATTACAACTGTCCGAGGCCATTATTAATACCAAGGGCATGTTACAGGGCCAATATGAAAAAGTTCATATATTGATACTTTTATTAACCAACTAAGGCAACTTCATTCAAGAACAGTCTTCGAGTCTCGGATCCAAATACAGCTAACCACGAATCTATAACAGGACCAATACAAAAAAAAGCCAGTTCATAACACTTTTATTACCGTAAATGGTGTTAATTCTTCGATTAAACAAAGAGTAAGAATCTTACCGTGAAGAAGATACAGAAATTCATAGCTGAACTTGTCTTTTCGCATTCACGATGGATTTTTGGTCAACATTGTCAGATGTAATTTCTGATTTCTCATCCAAGTACTTTATTTTATGCTATTACAATTCATTTCATCTAGCAAATATAAAGCAGCTGGGAAGAATAAATCAGACAGTTTAACTATTCTTACTCTGAGTAGTCTGCATTCTGATAATTGATCAACGGGAATGAAACAGTGATAATAATCGAAAGTCGTACTCGAAAAAGGCTGTGTAATATTTCCGTTTCAAGTCGTTACAAAACACTGAACATCATTTAAACTATTTTTTTATGATATTAAGTTAAAAAAAATTTGAAAAAAGTTGTCACTTATTTGAAGAAATAAACGACATTTTGATTTAATCGATGTCCCGTTTCATCTTGTTCATAATGCATGGCTGTGATTTCGTAATGCACGGGTGTGATTTCGTAATGCATGACTGAGATTTCGTAATGCATGGCTGTAGCAATTTCTCCGTTCATAATGACCAGTTGTCGAAATTTTCCTTTTATAAAGCATGGGCATTTCTATACATATTGTAGTAAGTTGGTTAATAAATAGTAATATATAAAGTATATTATCATCATTGTATGTCATTCTGAACTAGATGTAATGAAGCGTAAATTTTCTTTTTCCTATTGTCTATAGAGCTACGATGTAAAATAGTTATCCCTCTTGGACTTGGTGTGTCAGTGTAAGATCACCCTCCGGCCTCGAGCCATCGGAGTGATCTTTCACTAACACACCGCGTTCTCATGAGGTAACTATTAAAATTGAGAATGGAAATGTGGAATGTGTCAAAAAGACAACAACCCGACCATAGAGCAGACACCAGCCGAAGGCCACCAATGGGTCTTCAATACAGCGAGAAACTCCCGCACCCGGAGGCGTCCTTCAGCTGGCCCCTAAACAAATATGTATACTAGTTCAGTGATAATGGACGTCATACTAAACTCCAAATATTACACATTACACAACAAATGAAAGCATGAAAAACAAATAAACTCAAGATAAGGTGATATGATAGGGGTGATCCGACTCAGATCACCCCTGTTAGAACACAGGAGTTGCGATGTAATTAATCGTATCATTTGATGGTAGTTCTAAAGATGTCTTTACGGCAATATTAAATAAAAAAAATATAAGGTGTGAAGAATTAAGCTATGCAGGTTGAAATTGCTGGTATTGAGGACAAACGCCAGATCACGACTCTTTTGACATAAACCATGACAGGAAATTTACTTTCCGCTCAACTACTGTATCACGGAAAAACTAAATATTGTCATCCTCCGGTGAAATTTCACAAATGTTTGGATTTTTATTTGTCTGAAAACCACTGGTCAAACCAGAAAACTATGTTTGAAATTTTTGTCACTATTCTTTTGTCTCACATTCACGAACAATGTGACCGTTTAAATTTCCCATTTAAACAATCAGCTCTTGCAATATTTGACGTGTATGCTGCTCACCGTTTTGAATCTTTCAATAACAAGTTGCAGAAAGCAGGCATAATAATTAATCAGGGTGTTCCTGTGTGCTCCAACCCCTTGAGTATATCTGATATTTCTCAGATTAAGGAGGAAGTGACATTGTGTTTCTTTGCATGGTATGCAAACAAGTTGGTACAAAATTAGGAGCTGGTAAAACTGTCAGTAACGTTG